GCAATAACCCCAGCTAGCTCCCTCAACACCCTGGGGTGGAGATCATCTGGACCCGCTGACTTGAACGCGTCCAGCCCCTCCAGAAGCTCTCTAACCCGGTCCTCCCCAACCTGAGGTCTGAAGGCGATCCCCTCGAGTCCGGCTTAATCCACAGCCAGACAAGGCAATTTTTGTGGCTTAGTCATGGAACAAAAAGCCAATTTTGCAGGCCTTTCCCTTGCTGTTAACTGGTAGAGGCTCCCCGGGAGGGAGGAGAGACAAGGGGGTAGCCGCCACTTTGGCTGCTGGCTGCCCTGCCAGCCAGTGGCTTCACCCTCCCAGGTGGGATGAAAGGCAGTGAGGACTGGCTAGATCCCACTGGGGAACCAACAGTATTTTAATTTTTTTTTAAGTTGATTTTGTGGTTTCCACAAAATCTGTGAATTCGCAAATTAAGTAGATCCCCAATGATAAACAAAGGGCTCACAAAACAGCATTCAGTCCTTTCAATTACATTTTGAAAAGTGATTTGAGGAACTGGAATGATGCCTGTTATTATTCAGCACTGATGTTGACTGAAATGAAAACACTTTTCTGAAGACCTTGTGCAATCCAATAATGTCATAAAGAGACAAAACAAGTTGTGACACAGGAATCTTGCAGGATAATTAGCGCATGTGCTTTACGTACATTTTTCTCAGATTAAGCAGTGCGTGGCGAACTGAAGACACAAATAGCTCTTACTGGTACAGATGGCGGCACTGAACTGTTACAAAAGATTCATGTCCATCAGTAGTATCAAGCATGTCAAACTGAAGTGCTTGGTAAGTGTAATATGAATCTCTAGCAGAGTACCTGATGCTTTCTGCCATTAGAGATTGTTCAGTGCATTGAATAGTCCTTCAACACACCTCACCAGGACCTGTATCCCCTCTAGTTTTACCAATGATCTTACAAGGCCCTTTGTTCTGTTTTGATACAATACCCAGTCCCATTAATCAACTGAGGGGAACATCATCTTAGATGGCTTCACTACAAAAATCCTGGATATTTTGCTGGGCAACAGATTGGATTAGCCAATACAGCCTAGCCATTTAGGGATAAACAGCTACTAGCAGATAAACACTACCAGCCAGTTAAAATGATTTGTTTGCTAGCAAAGTCATTCTTGCTTACTATCCTTCCTGCCATGCTAAAGGGACTAAGCATCATGATATCCTAAAACTGACTCCAAGATACTTGTTTACTTAACTGGTGCTCTCTCATATGGAGACTAGTTTTACTATAATTCAAGATTGAGAGGGGTTTTTTTTGTTGTTGTTGTTTTTTTTGGGTTTTTTTAAACTAATCAAGAGGTGAAGAATATGCCACTGAAGTTCTAGTATTCTGCCAGGAAAGAATATATAGAAGAATCTCTTCCTAGAAGACTAATATTTTAAAGTTTGTCACATGGGCATAAGGCAAGGACATCTGCTGCATAATGTCCTAATTCAGTTAATGAACACCCACCACTTCTGCAAGGGCCGGGGCGGGGGGGGTGGGTAGGAAGGGACAGACAGACAGACAGACTAGAAGGTTCAGCTGTAGGATCACTAGTAAAGAGTTTTTATTCTGTTGTTCCACATCACTAAATTGCTTTTGCCAAATTTTGTCCCGTCATACTGGTCAGTATTAAAAGTTTCAGCTGCAGTCAAGAGAGGGCACTGTGACTTGGAGGTAAACTGTAAGATGTTCAAGATCTTGATGAACAGGAACACGGACTTAGCCAGATTTTTGTAATACTGCAAAGTTGACTTTTTTCCAATGGATGCCAAATGGAACAACTTACACGAACACTGGCAACCATGGAACAGAACACTATTAAAAAGTTGAGTCATAAAATGAAGGTGTTTTAACAGTGGTTTAAATATTTGGAAGGACAGAGCTGTATCTGGAAGTTCTATCCTCAGTTAACTTCTCTTGGAATATGAACGTCTGATGCTCTGCTAAAATTAAGGTGCCAGCTCCAAGAAGGGAAGGAGAGAGAAGCATGAGACAGACTGAGGAGATCTGTAAAGTGGTTTAGGCAAAATAGTTTTTAGTCCTCACGTTCTTCCCACCCACTATGGGAGGCAGAAGCATCTACTTGCCAGAGGTTGCTATCACAATGACTAAGATTGATTGATGTCAAGAATGATCTCTAGAGACTTTGTTTGCTTGCAAGAAACAAGGAATCCTTTGTGCTCAGTTTTCTATATTTGACAGTATTTTCCTTTATCACCTAAATAAACCTTTCTACTAGAAGACATCTGTCATCCTGAGGATGAGTCAATCCTGCGGCCGTTCAACAGCTCACATAAGATGTGAAAACATAGTGAAAAAAAAAAAGCTGTTTTCCCATTGATTAATTGAGCTGAAGTTAAACTGTTGTAGAGCTTACTCAAACTCATTTACAAGGAAGATTAATCAGTATATCACTCTTCAAGCAAAACAAACAAAAATGGTGTTTTCACTTCTCAGTATTTCCTTACTTAAATGTTTAATCTGTTGCACATAGAAAAGCTTCCCTACCAAATACGATAGCTACTGCATCTCTAGTATGTAATAAGGTGTAGATGGGGCCTAAAACATTTATGCCATAATTAATGTGTTAATATCACAGCATAAACGGCAAGAATGCTATATACGCACCCAAATTTAAGGCACCATAAAATGGCAAATGAGCCATAAGATGTTCCACGAATAATGTAGAATATTTTATGGCTGTGAGCAAGGGAAGAGCCAAAGGGCTTTCCTGTCAAGGATTTTTAAGTCCTGCACCTGGCAGTTCTGGCCAAGCTGCTGGACACAGCAGATCAGAGGCTTCCAGCAAGTGAGATGAAGGGCTTCCCTGTTGGGGACTTTGAGACCCATGCCCAGCAGCTCCAAAGCTGCTGAGCATCATCATCCCTGGCTAGGCAGCCCCAGGTCCATTTTGAGACCTCGGGCTGTTTGGAGACTGGGGTTGACAACTCAGGGTTGTCTGGGGACTGGGGCCAACTTGGCACCAGCCCAGACTGCTCCGGGTCTGGAACTGGACTCAGATCTGTCTGGGCCAAGTAGATAATCAGCTGTGATGAGGGTATGGGCATGGGCCTGTGGCTCTCAACTTGCCAGTGCAAGGGAAGTCTAGGCTCATGATCCCACACTCCCCCTGCACTGATAAGTAGTAATGGGGCAACTGCGATCTGATCCCTGATTTTAAAAAAGTTGCACATCCTGCCATGTACACAGACATAGCAGGAAGCACAACTCTTGTGATATGGGATCAGATTCCATTGCATCAGTCAAGAGCTTTGCAAAAATTAAGTGAGAAAACTTCCGACAAATTATCACTTCACTTCCCAAACACATACATGCAGATTAAACCAGAAGCAAAACTTGCACATTAGATGAACGGTATGTAGATGGCAATATAACTTGAATTATCTGTACTAGTGATTATGCAAATACTCGATGTGCATTTCTGTGAAGACCCTTAGAAATCCAAAATTGAAGGTCTTTTAGATTAAAAGTACCAAATCTTTAGAAGAGCTTAAATACCTGCATTGTGAAATGTGTCTACCCATCCCCCATCACCATCATCTTCTTCTATAATTGCTTCCTGTTCATCTGAGTACTCCATCTGTTTACAACGTTTGTAGCATGGCACTGCAAAGATCAAACAATACAGTAGGCACAGTTATTTAGATGAGACATGAAAGAAATTACGTTTTCTGCCATTAGGCAAGCTTCCTCACAGCTCTTATTTAATCTATCTTGTATACGGATCCATTCTTTTAGTTAGAAATATTTTGATGAAAGATATTTACATTTTAGAAATTCAATACATTTGGATTCACATCTTCAAGAATTTAGAGCTGTTGAAGGCAAAATGCATCTTGGAAACTAAGTAAGAACAAAAACACCATAGACAGTGGCTACACAAACTTTTCATCTTCCGATGCCCATCATAAGGTCTTGACTTTGACTTCTAGAAAACCACTTGCCAATTTACCATACTTATTTGAATCTAAGATAACACTGAATTTAAGATCCCCCACACCAATAATTAGATCACATACATGGAAATTTTGAAAATTATAACAAATCTATGTTTTCCATATATGGCATCTAATTATTGGGGGGGTCATCTGTAATTCATGCCAACCCCCCCCCCCATCACTGCAGGGGAGGCAAGCAGAGTAGAGAGGGGTGGTTTTGGAGTTGGTGCAACCCTGTTGGTTCTACATGAAGTCTTTTGGAGGCTGCATGACTGGTTCTAAGTTCCCAGTGTCCTAGAGAGCAGGAAATCTGGTCCTGAAAGATTTCTCAGTGCTTGCCCAGGGAGCATCCTATAGAGCAAGCCTGGCCCGCAGCACCCAGTCACCGTGGCAAATGTAGAGCCTTAAAGGGAGCAAGAAGCTCC